AAAGGGAAGGGAGACCCTTCCTGGAGTCCCAAATTCCCAGTGAAGCCCCTGGATCCCAAAATTCCTTCCCAGAGAGGAGCTGGGACGGGGATGGATCCAATGCCAGGCTGGGAGAGCTGGGAATGGAGGGAATTCCCTGGAATTTGGGAAGGAATTCCCAGCTGGGCTGGAATTCCCAGAGAATCCCTGGCAGTGTCCCAGGAAAGGTTGGAGCAGCCTGGGAGGGTGGGGTGGGAATGGGATGGGATTGAAGGTCCATGGATCCCATCCCAAACCATTCCGGGATTCTGGGATCAAGGACACTCGGGATCCATCCCGAGGGATTTTTATGGGATTCAGGGATGGGAAAGGGAAGGGAGACCCTTCCTGGAGTCCCCAATTCCCAGTGAATTCCCAAAATTTCTTCCCAGACAGGAGTCGGGATGGGGATGGATCCAATGCCAGGTTGGGAATGGAGGAAATTCCCTGGGAAAGGAGAGCTTGAGATGGGTTTGGGAAGGAACTCCTGGTTGGAATTCCCAGATACTCCCTGGGAATATCCAAGGAAAGGCTGGAGCACCCTGGGACAGTGGGATTGGAATGGGATGGGATTGAGGCTCTCTTCCCACCCAAACCATTTCGGGATTTTGGGATCACAGACATTCAAAATCCATTCAGGGGAATTTTTATGGAATTCGGGGATGGAAAAGGGAAGGGAGACCCTTCCTGGAGTCCAGAATTCCCGGTGAAGCCCCTGCATCCCAAAATTAATATTCAAGGAGGAGTCAGGATGGGGATGGATCCAATGCCAGGCTGGGAGAGCTGGGAATGGAGGGAATTCCCTGGGAAAGGGGAGCTTGGAGTGGGATTTGGGAATGAATTCCCATCTGGGCTGGAATTCCCAGAGAATCCCTGAGAATATCCAAGGAAAAGTTGGAGCACCCTGGGATTGCAGGATTGGAATGGGATGGGATTGAAGCTCCCTCCCCGCTCAACCCATCCCAGAATTGTTCAGGAATCCCCACGGAAAGCCCAGAACACCCCGGGAGTGGATCCATGATGGGATTCCCGCTCCTTTCCCACCCAACGAGATTCCCGAGGAATATTTTGGGATGGCGGGGCGTCTCACCAGGCTCTGGACCTCCTGGCGGAGCCAGCGGTGGTCCTCCAGCATCTCCTTCTGCTGGCGCTCCATGGCCTGCTCCACGCGGAGCCGCTCCAGCTCCAGCAGCTGCTGCGCCTCCTCGCGGCTGCCCGGCCGCTGGAAATCCTCCTCCTGCCGGAATTCCGGGAAAAAACAAACAGCGGGATCCGTCGGGATCCGTCGGGATCCGTCGGGATCCGTCGGGGTCGGGGATGGGGGGGGGTTCTGTGATGGGGGATTGTTACTGAGGAATTGGGTGGGGTGGAGGGGAGGGAGGAAATGGGGGGAAGGAGGAAAAGGGGAAAATGGGGGAAAATGGGTGGAAATGGGTGGAAATGGGGGAAAATGGGGAAAA